TGAACAGAATAAGCTAAGTCTAATCTTTGAAAAGGGTGCTTACTAGTGCAAGAAAATCGAATTTAATCGTCTTAACGAGTATTAATTAGCCCTAGATTGAGTTAATCAACTTGGATTATTTCACTGCATTCTATTATTTATTATATTTTTAAAAGAAATTCTCTTAACATCTATATATTATTTAACTCGTAAGATTCAATTTCGAGACTTTATTTAAAATAATGATCAAACTCTTTCCACTTGACCATAGCACATCGGCTAATAAATGGCTAATTCACCACATTAAGGCAATACATAAATTTATAAATAGGGTTCTTTGCAAGAGTGAAAATTGGTTAGATCTAAAATGTAGGTAACATGTCTTTACACACACATGGAGGCATACAATAGTCCAAACTTTTTTTCTTCTTTAATTTAGCCTTTAGGCAATCAATGGTTTATTGACAGTTAATTGTGCTTTTTGCATGATTGGATCTAGGCTTGTACTGGCTAGAGGAATGTATAAACCTATCATGCATTAAAATTCCTTTTTTTTTTCCCTTTTTTTATAACCTAGGTATCTCATCATACTAATTCTTGGACTCCATGAATTTGTTTCAAAGTCCATGATAAGGTAAATCAAGTCCTGACAGTCGCAGTGTGGAGTTTCACATAATGTGGTGAACTCTTTGTAGACACTAGACACTGAGCACTACTAGTCCTCCCACTAATAAGTCGCCGAGTCACCACGATTTACCCTTTCACTATCCTGTCAGATCGGGGTGTGGGGGCAAGAGAATTTTGTCTTTTGTTGATAAGGTAAATCAAACATGTCCAGCTTTAGGACTCTATACCAAACTGTGCATTTACGTTTTTTTTTTTTTTTTTTTTTTTTTTTTCTTTTTTTTTCTTTTTTTAATGTTTTAAATACATCTTTTGTTCAGAAACTCACAAAAACTCCCCAAAACATTTCATAATCTTTTTCATAATATATGTATTTTTTAAATATGAAAATCTACACATACGTATTCATATGTTTTATATTTGTAAGTTTTTTTTTTTCATGTACCCTGTTTGGTAAATAGCTGTTAGCTAATAATTGTTAGTTGTTAGTTGATTGGGTTAATTAGAGGGTATAACTAGTTGATAACATTAGCTGATAGTAGGAAGGTGTTTGGTAAATTAGCGGTTAGCTGGTAACTGTTTGATATAATTTCTTTTCTCAAAAGGCTTATTGAAAAGGCTGCTTTGAGCAGCTTTTTGAATTTTAGCATTTTAGAATTGATTTTTTTAACCAAATCAAACAATTAATAATAATTAAATAAACCAAAATTGATTTATAGGGTAATGTTTTACCAAACAGGGCCGTAGCCTTAATGACTTGTGAAAAGCAATGGAGAAGAGGACAATGAAACGTGTGTTGTTGCTTGCATTTTTGGTAATTATTAATCCTACAACTAATCATGTTATCGCTGGTTTTTGACTAAATAATTGAAATAAATGTGTTTTCAAAAAAATTGAAATATTTTTTTTTTAATTTAAATTTGTCTTCTATTGAATATTTTAGGATTTCATGTACCCAAAAACATGTGGATAAGCAAGCCAAGCCACTCGCACTTAGAAAAGTGAAAGGAGACAATGAAGAAATGGTGTGATGCAATATAGGCACATCATCAAAGATGACGTGACATAGCTTAGAGGTATGGCATATATATATATATATATATATATATATATATATATATATAAATAAGGGATCATGTGCGAAGCTTCTCCCAACTCAAACATGCAAATTAATCACAGCCTTTGATCTTGTCAAAATCAACAATCCAGAATGAAGAACAATTAAGAAAAAAATGCGGTGACATTATGGTTCTTTTTGCGTAAGGTCACAATTTAATGTGCGTAAGTTTAGAGCGTTAGGTGTCTAAGTTTAAAGTTTAAGGTGATTGAGTCTAGCTAAAATTTAAGATACATAAATTTATAACTTAAGGTGTGTAGGTTTAAAACTTAAAGTGCATCACTTTTTAATTTAAGGTGTATCATCATAGAGATGTAAATCAATCTAAATTATCAATAATTAACCGGCAAAGGAATTACTTTTATTTTTAATTACACGATTATAATGATATATTATTTAATTCATGAATTTTAAAAATCGACAAGTTGGGGTCCATTTCTAGGAAAATTGAATGTGATTAGAAAATATATAAACAATTAAAGTTTTTTTTTTTTAGACGCAATATAGGCAACGTAAGTGGATTCCAGAGGAGTGACGTCAAATATATTACTCGTAAATAATAAATGGAATAAATTTTAAAAATTGCAGGCAGGTATATGAATATGTGTTTTCACACACACATTTTTTTTTTTAACACGACAGCTGTCAGAACAAAATTGTTATTTTTGGTACAATCTCAGTTAGTCTGATAATTGGATTGATATAACTACACAATTTTAAGTTTACTTTTAATTAGAGTTGTCTATTATTATTATTATTATTATTATTATTATTATTATTATTATTATTTTTGAATCAGTTAATTAGAACAAGAACAACTGAAACAATTTAGGATGGTTCAACTAGATATAGACAATCTTGACTGGCCCAACTAAGACTACAAAGTGAATTTTATTTAAAATACACATTTGGGTAGCGACTGTGACATCTCATAAATAAAAAATTGTTGCTCACTATTATTAGAAAACATCAGTGTTGCAAAAATCGTTCTAGGAGCCCCTAGACCGTGCCGATTTCCCCCCTAGGCGCCCGCCTAGGCGTCTGCCTAGCGCCTAATTCGGCCGACTTGGCCGCCTAGGCACCCGCCTAGCGTCTAACTTAGCCGAGTTAACTCGTCCATTTCGGTCGAGTTAACTCGATCAGCTCGGCCTTGCTAATTATTTACATTATATATATATATATATGTGTGTGTGTGTGTGTGTGTGTGTGTGTACACACACACACACACACACACACACACACACACACACACACACACACACACACACATATATATATATATATATATATATATATATATATATATATATATATATATATATATATATATATATATATATATATATATAATATGACATATATACACTTAGCTTGTAGACTAGTTTGATACTTTGAATATTTGGATGATTGAGGTATTTGAGTATTTTTAATTTTTAATATTGTTTTGATGTTATGACTTGTGAATTATCATTATTTCATTTATTTGGATGTATTATTTGATTGAATGTTGAAAACAGCCTCATTAAAATTGTCAAACTGCAAGTCTGCTACTGTTTTTTTGACGCCCGCTTAGCGTCGCTTAGGAGTTAGGCCCTGCCCGGACGCCCGACTAGCGCCTAGCGCCTACTGCAACCATGGAAAACATAGTTACAAATGTTTAAAGTGGATAAATTCCTTGTGTGCACCAGCATTTGACCTTATCTGCTGAGCTATTGTCATCGTGATTTATATTATTTCAAATACTCTATCGGGTCAGGATGTGAGGGAACCTCGGAATCGGGGATTAGAGAAGAATGAAACATAGCACAAGTGTACCACGTGATTTGCCTTGGACGAGTGTCTTTCAATTCTTGTCGATTGCACTATCATAAATTAACGTTTTATGTCTTTCAATCTTAAAAGCTTTAACTTTGTTTAATATATTACCATTAACACCACTTTTAATGATTTTTTTTTAAACAATGATCGATATTTTTATTTTAATTGTACCAATCTTAACTTTTTCAAATTAATTAAAACTCAATCCAAAATTTATGTTTTCATAGGAAGAAGTTTGCCGTTTGTTTAGAAGATCGAGTCCAATATTTTATTATTTTATTGTTATATTATCGAGACATAGCGTTGTTCGTTGTTATGCAAGTAAAATTAAAAAGTGTTGAATTGGATTAATAGTTAATTGATGAAAAATAAAAATGTGAATACATGAGTAGTAGGTAGGGAAGATAAAAATGGAGGGTGGTTATCTATGTGAACTATTATATGTATATGTTGTATTTGGTATCTTTAAATGTTAACCACAATATCAAAAGTTATATATATATATATATATATATGTATGTATGTATGTATGTATGTACAGTATCACATTTCAAATGTAAAAATTAAAGCAACGTGACATTGAACTTGGTCAACTCAAGTCTCCGTCCAACAATTCTAATAATTTAGTGATACTATGTTGTCATAATTATATTCTACAATATATATATATATATATATATATATATATATATATATATATATATATATATATATATATATATCTTCAATTAAAATTCAATTAGATTTTAATTAAATATGCCAAGGATCTCGTGATCTAGTGGGCTCCAAGTTATTCTCTCATATGGGAGGTCGTGGATTCGAGTCTCAAAAAGGTTCTAACTAGATATACACATAATTCCAGAAATCTCTTGTGTGGGCTGATCTATTTTTTTTTTTTTTAAAAAGTGATAATTTAATTTTTGAAAAAAAATTAAAAATAATTACCATATAATTAATTCTAAATTTAATGAATTATAATTTTATCCTAAATTAGTGATGATAAAATCACACTTTTTACAGCAATAGATGTTCTCACATGAATATATATATATATATATATATATATATATATATATATATATATATATATATATATATATATATATTCTGTTGAGATTTTCCAAGGAAATCATATACTTTTTTTTTGTGTCATTTTCGTGAAAATGTGTTTGGATTCATGGTCATAATTCCCCAGCCGATTTTAGTACAGTGCACAAGTATAGCTTTCCCATATCACTGATATCAGGTTAGAATCATTAAAAAAAAATGGTCAAAAATAGTCACCAGTGGGCCCCCACCAAAACCCTACCATTCTCTCAAATCCAAACCCTTTTTCCACAACATTACAACTGATGCAATCATTTCATTTCATCTATTATTTTATTCTGATTCCACCTTTTTTTTTTCTATTTTTTAATAATTAAACATTTATAAAAAGCTCCCCATAGGGGGGTAGTTTCACTCTAGTTTAATTTGAACATTTCCTCTTTTCTTCTCTAGCCAGTTTGTGTGGAAGATTATTTCTCCTTCTTCTTCTTCTTCTTCAATTCTTTAAAGAGTATAAAATATGGATGAGCAGAACAGAAACCCTAGCAGAGCTGACAGAAAGACAGTTGAGAGGAACAGAAGAAATCAAATGAAAGCCCTCTACTCAACCCTCAACTCTCTTGTCCCTCATCAGCAATCCACTGTTAGTTTCTTTCTTTCTCCATTCCCTCGATCTGTCTGCGTTTACTTCAATTCTTCAGTTTTCGTACTTTTGGGTCATTTCCTGACCATTCTCGGTTTTCTGTTTTCGAATCAGAGAAATGTACATGTAAATATATGTATTCCCTATTTTCTTTGATTGGTATATCCACTACAATAGTACATTCATCTCCTTCCCAGTTTTTTTCGAATGACGAGAAAAATTCATAGTCATTACTCAAAGGTATGTAATGGCTGAAGTGCTAAACCCCACCTTCACCTTGTGGCCTTAATCGACAAAGGACAACAAGGAGGTAAACTAGCCTAAGTTACTCACCAGCTCGAAAAACTAATCTTGTAGTTATCAAGTCAGCTGAAAATTATGTAATTTCCGACCACCTGAAGGTGATCTTAAATCAAGTCAAAAGCCTTATTCCGATCACTTTTGGTATTCTGAAAAACCTTTGCTATTTCCGACCACCTTTGCTTTCAACTTGATTTAAGATCACTTTCAGGTGGTCGGAAATTTCATAATTTTCAGTCGTGAATGACCAATTTGGCTGCAAGCTGGACTCGTTTCTCTTGGTTAATGCAGTTATTGCGTTTACTTCAATTCTCTAATTTTGACTGTGGGTCATTTTCGAAATACATCGTTTCTCGAAAAAAAATAGAGAAATTTTCCGATTAGTAAACGGGGAATTTAATGTTTGTAGGAGATGTTGTCATTGCCGGATCAGCTGGATGAAGCGGTGAGTTACATAAAGAAGTTGCAGATAAAGTTGGAGAGGATGAAGGAGAAGAAGGAAAGCTTGAGAGGAGGGTGCAGCAGCCATGATCATCAAAGCTCGAGCATAGCAGCTTCAAGGTCTAGCAATGGCGGTGGCGGGATGGCGGCGGCGGTGGGGGGATTGAAACTGCCACATGTCGACATCCACCACGTTGATTCAGCTGTGGAGGTGGTTCTGATTACCGGCGGCGGCGGCGTGGATTGTTCCCAGTCCTCCATGTTTAATGATGTCCTTCGAATGCTCCACGAGGAAGGCGCCGACATCATCAGTGCCAGCTTCTCATCTCTCGACAACATGGTTTTTCACACCATACATTCTCAGGTAACGTAACCCATTTTCCGCGTTTAAATCTACGTGTTTTGTTCCAAATAAAAGTATAAACTAATTTTTAAATTTTTAGATTGTTATACCCAGATATTATACCATGGACCTTGACCATTGATATAAAATTTATTTTTAATATATTGAATGTTCATTTTTTTGTGTACTGAATTACCAAATAAAGAACACTCAATACACAAAAAATGAAGATTTAATATATTAAAAATGAACATTTATTTATAGCCGATAGTATAATCTGCTGCAAGCATCTATGACCATTCAATTTGAGTCGGGCTTTAATAGTGTGTTTTGTCTTAACTAAATTACTAAATTGATGTCAAGCACCTTATGCACCTCTGTGGCTCTCTTTGAGGGAATATCATAAGATCAAATCCCGGTGGTGGGGTGTTGATATATATTAAACTATATAGAGTTCTACTAATGTATTCCTAAATTTTACTCGGCTCTCCCTTTACTCCATGATGTGGCAAACAAGGATAGGATTTTTTTTCATCATGTCGGTCTAATGAAAAGTGTCTACATCAAAGATTTGTGAGAAGGAGTAAGAAGTGGGAGTACATGTAGTATTTTCCAATTAAATATGTGTGTGTTATGCTCAATCACTTGAATTCTTCACATTTCCTCTCTTTTGAACCCGAAATTCTCTATTCTCTCTTTTAAACCCGAAAAAATGTGCAAGTAAACACATTTTTAAACTAATTAAAAGTCTAATAAACTGATAGTTGGACTACACATGTTGTCCGGCGCGGCCATAACCTACCTTTTCGGTTTGGGCCGGGTTTGGCTTTGATAATTTGTTCTATATCCCATACAATGTAAACTAGCTAATAGTTAAATTACACATTTACTATTTATACATATTATGCTCAACGACTTCAATTCTATGTTTTCAAGTTGAAGAAACCAGCCTGCTAATAAATGTGTTTCTTGTAATATTTCTATACGGAAGGTCTCAAGTTTGAGTCTCATCCTAATTAGAGTTAACAGAATTGTTGAACAGATATTATTGATAAGTATAAAGTGTACTATAAAAAATGTGTTTCTTGTTTTTATTTCTCCTGTGAGTAAACACACCCGTTATTCTTTTTTGTTTTTATTTTTTGTGGGGATAAATTGAAAACGTGATTTTCTTGATTGTTTAATTTCATGTAGATTGAAAAGTCTGGATGTGCATATAAAGCTCAAAGGATCTCAGAGAGACTTCATAGCTTTGTGAATGGTGCAAGCTAGCTAGCTATATCTACATATATAGCTAAGTAATAAATATAATAACTAGTTTTGGGTAATTCATTTTGTGCTTACATTACATATATATTGTTGAAATATCATTGTACTGTGGTTTATATATATATATATATATATATGTTGTTCAAGTGCATGTGTTTGTGTGTGTTCATGTGAATTTCACTTCACTTCTGTACATATAATTTGTCTGAATTGATTTGATTGTTTTTTGTTTTGTAGCTTTAATTTGGTGGTTCATGCATGCATGCACATAGAAATTGTACTCATCTTGAATACATTGCATGCAACGTCTTCATAGACTAATCTAACCTAGTCAAACATATCATTATCTATGCATATATCTAGAATAATTAAGGCGTTCTGTCAGAACTTGTAGAATAATCTCGTCCATTATCTATGCATCTAGAATAATTAATCATGTGAATAAAATAACAATTAAAATATTATTATAACTATTTTCCTATGATGTTTGCTAGAAATTAATTTTTTGTCGGCTCCAAATTCAACTCCTCGTTAGAGTTACTTAATGCCTTCTTGGTTTGAGTCAATTGGCAACCTAAGCTAATTTACCTCATTATAGTTCTTTGCCGGAGCGTTACGTTGTGCAACCGTGTGCACCATGCAAAGTGCACGTACACAGATATGGATCCATAATTTCTATATTATAGATCCATAATTTCTAATTACTGTAGATTCATAATTTCTAAACTGTATAGTTATCAAATTATGAACATATAGTTCAGTGATTTGTGAATACAGAGTTCAACAATTGGGAATATGAATACTGAAAATTATGAATATAGAGTTATGTAATTGTGAATATAGGCCGTGTTTGGTAAAAAATTGGCCTATAGGCCAATTTTGGCTTATTTGACCACTATTAATTGTTTGATTTAGTTAAAATATCAATAGAAATGTTTGGTTAATTAGCTTTTTGCAACTCCAAAAGGCTAAAATTCAAAAAGCTACTCCAAGCAACTTTTTCAATTAGCTTTTTGAGAAAAGAAATTATACCAAACAGCTATCAGCTAACAGCTAATTTACCAAACACTTTTCTACAATTATCTAATGTTATCAACTATTTATACCCTTTAATTAACACAATCAGCTAACAGCAAACAGCTATCAGCTAACAGCCATTTTACCAAACAGGGCCATAGAGTTCAATAATTATGAATCTATAGTATAGAAATTATGAATCTATAATATAGAAATTATGGATCCAATTCTATGTGCGTGTATGGTGCACACGGTTGCACAACATAATTTGCCTCCTTTGCCGTTGGGTCGTCACAAAGTGGGCTTCACCCAGAACACATATTTAGGCAACCGTTGAAGACTTTTCCTTAAATCAAAGTAATTTAAATTTGGGATAAGGGTCAAATAAGCCCTTAAACTATATTCATTTGTGCAATTAGGCCCTTCAACTCCAAAAAGCTCCAATTAGAACCTCAAACTTATCAAAAAAGTGCAATTAGCATTATTTGCAGGTTACTTTCAAGTTAAAAGGTCAACTCTTGATGATTGGATTTTTCAAGCTGATTTGGCGAGCTGACGTGACTTTCACTTTTTTTAAAAAATAATATATTATATTAAATTTAATTTTATTTCCAAAAAATATATATTAAATTTAATTTTAAATTTTTAATTAATAATAATAATAAATTAAAAAGAAAAATCAGAAGGAACCCAACCATGGATCGGAATTGAAATTAACAGATTAGTTTGAAGTTTCTGCATCTTAGGATTCGATCCAATTTGGTTTCTATACTTCATTTACAGCATTTGAATTGAGCAAACAGACACCGCGTAGTACGACCAAGAACTTACTTTGATGTATTGAAATCCGACAAAATTTCAATTGGTTTAAAGCTATTATAATATTACCAGCGGAGATCGGACATGGCTTTTTCGAGCTCTGTTCTGGATGGCAGAGGCCCAAAGATGGAGTCCAAGGGACGAGACTACCCAGCATCAGGGGATGTAATAGATATGGAGGGTATGGACTGAAAGTTGGCGATGGTGCGTGACGGCAGCGGCGGCGACAACGGTGCTGTGATGATGTCAGTAGGGTGGCTGTGGCCTCCGACTGTTTGGGCTAGCATAACTTTTTGTTTTTTAATTTTTAATATACGATTATTAATATTTATTAAAAATTAAATTTAATATAATATATTATTTTTAAAAAAAATGTGAAAGCCACCTCAGCTCGCCAAATCAGCTTGAAAAATTCAATCATCAAGAGTTGACCTTTTAACTTGAAAGTAACCTGCAAATAATGCTAATTGCACTTTTTTGGTAAGTTTGAGGTTCTAATTGGAGCTTTTTGGAGTAGATGGGCCTAATTACACAAATGAGTATAGTTTAAGGGCTTATTTGACCCTTATCCCTTTAAATTTTAATTAATAAAAATTTAATGGAATTATTGCATATTTGAAATTTAAAAAAAAATAAATAAAATTGATACATGAAAAAGTAAAAATGATAACATAAATCTTATATTCATAGAAGTAGAGTAATATAAACTTGCAAGATAAATTGAAGATAGATATGGAATCCAATTTTAAGTTTTGCAACAAAATATATTAGCATTTATCATTAGACAAAGATAATTGTATATAGGTAAAATGCTAGAAACTTAGAAATCCATATTAATCGCTATCAGATATGTCATTATTTTATTAGAATTTTTTAATATCCCTCCTAATCATTTTATGTCTCGATTCAATTAATGAAACTTGACTCAATTTATTTACCTTTTTTTTAGTAATATTTAGTAAAATTTAGTATATAAAATTTATAGAAACATCATCCAAAATTGGTCATCAAGCTGTTAACTTTGTAACATACAATGTTACAAAGAGCGAACTACATACGAAAAAGCTTCCATTTCTTAATCAATGCCATGTCATATAATAAATACTAGTATTTTCGCCCGTGCGATGCACGGGATGGATTTGTTATAATATATTAAAAATATTTGGATTGATATATAATTATTTAAATTAGAACATCAAATATTATACAGTGCAATTGAAGATATGTTTTGGATTATTTATGTGTTTTGATGTTATCATTGTTTGAATTTGAGCAAATAATTGTTCCAATTAATAGTTAATGTGTAGATGTACGCATGTGATGCTGTAACTTTGGAGATTTTATTTATCATTGTTTAGTATTTTTTTTATAAATTAGGCAAATATGTTCGTATATATATATATATATATATATATATATATATATATATATATATATATATATATATATATATATATATATATATATATTTGTCTAGATATATAGCAATTTTGTCATTTAAAAAAAAACATAATATCAACGATTATATTTACACATTATTGAAATCTGTTTGTAGATGACATTGGTTGTAGCAACGCAATACTGTCCATCATCGTATAGAGCTAACACCTTCAGTCCATCAGGATAGGTGACTCGGGTGAAAATATATAATGGTAGAGTATTAGTCAATTAGCGATCCTTTTATATTTTAAGTCAATTAGTAATATCAAATTCATTTTCAGCAAATTATTCTTTTATATTTTTAGTCAATTAGTCAATTAGAATATCATATGCAGTGATATTTTTACTTAATTTTTGTTCAATTTTTAATTGATGATGTATAATATTATTATTGAAATATTTACATTCTATTTTTAATTTATCTTTAATATTGTTTAAAATATGCATTTACTATTTATGATGTAGAAATATTATTGAAATATTTCTGTCAAATTTTAGTTTCCGTTTCATTTTTAATTAAAATGCAATGATCAAATTATTATTTTTTTTCATATTAATCAATTATGGATCATTTTTTATTTGCATTCAACTATTAGTATTCATTTCTTTTTATATTTTCAGTCAATTTGTAATTCCATATTCATTTTCAGCCCATTATTCTTTTTATTTTATTTTATTTTCATTCAATTAGTCAATTAGAATATCAGATGCAGTGATATTTTTACCTAATTTTCGTTCCATTTTTAATTGATGATGTAGAATATTATTATTGAAATATTCCAGTTTCATTTTTAATTTTTGTTTCATTTTTAATTTACCTTTACTATTGTTTAAAATATGCATTTACTATTGAAGATGTAGAATATTATTATGTAAATATTTCCTTTTTATTTTTAATTTACTTTTATTTGATGATGTAGAATATTATTATTAAAATATTTTCGTTCTATTTTTAATTTCCATTTTATTGTTTAAAATTGTGAAAGATTTATGACATAATTGTGATTTGATGTATTATACTGTATAATATTATTGTGAAAAATTTAAATGCAATGATCTGACCATTTCCTTTATCATTTTAGTCAATTATGGATCATTTTTATTTTCAGTCAATTATTAATATTCATTTCCTTTTCCAATTAACCTAACTTCAATTCCTTTTTTTCATTTTTAATTTTCAATAAATTATTAATATTCATTTCTTTTTTCAATTTACCTAATTTCCATTCCATTTTTAATTGATGATGTAGAATATTATTGTGAAATATTTATGTTCCTTTTTTCATTCTTTTTTTAATTTACCTTTACTATTTACTATTGTTTGGACAAGAAATCAAATAAATAGGATTTTGTTTTTAATTATAGTATAGATTTGACCGTGAGGTTGTAACATATATATATATATATATATATATATATATATATATATATATATATATATATATATATATATATATATATATATATATATATATATATATATATATATATATATATATATATATATATATATATATATATATATATATATATATGATGAATTGGTTATATTATAAATTGTTTAAATTTGTTATATAGGGTATTATGTTATGTGAGGGCATTGAATATGGAAACAATATTATCAAAATTTTAGTTGATTTCTACTTTATATTTGCTTACAAAAATAAGTTGTATTAAATTAGTTGGTGATAAACATCCAAAAATTCTACACGGTAATACCATACATAATATTACCAATTATGCTATTATGTTATTATCTAATTAATTAATGTCTTTTATACACAATATTATAAATACGTAAAAAAAATACGAAGAATTTGCAAACAATAATGTTCCCAAAAATATTATTATATTATAGAATATAACTAATATATCTGGAAGTAAAATTTGAGCTTTAAGATCATATAGAGCACTCTTTGATCCTAAATCAATAAATAATTAGTTATATTCACATTTAGCAGTACCAATGTC